CACTTGTGCTATTCCTTCTACCCTTGTACGATACATAATACTCCAAGTGTTCAGCGTGCACGCTGATGTTTTCGTGTCATTAAATTTGGGGAAAAAAACACGTCAGTCATGGACAGTCAGAGCTGAGCTAGCTGACTTGATCTTGTCACCACTCCTCACTCCCACTGAATTGGAGTTTCACACGGGGGCTAAAGTGCAGGCCAGCAGTATTTCGGGCATGTACTTGGTAGCTGTGTTGGTCTGAGACAAAAAGACATACAAAAATCTAGAACTCCTGATTCCAAAATGCCACCTTTTATTAGATCCACTGGGAAATTCCAACATATATCCTTTTCAGCTGGCTTTCAGGCTCAGAGGCACTTTGTCAGGCTCTGGGAAAAGCATGGATGGTAAAAAGTCCCCATAGGTAGGAAATAAACTTCATTTTTGCACAGAGGGAGCTGGAGATGGAAAGCTGGGTGCATGAGAGTGTCTTTGTGGGTTGTTCTGAGTTGCTCTTTGATGTGTAGATCAGGTACAATTCTTTCCCTGGGAAGCAATGTTTGCCATTTATCTTTAACGGGGGAGTGACATTGAGCAATATAAAGTAGTTGCATAATGATCCAGTAACTATTGTGTAATAGTACTAAGCTTAATTTTAACTGCTATGTATGGTCTTAAATCAATAGAAAGTCAAAGGGGTTTTGTGCTGTCCCCATTTGTAACTTCCAGGCATGTACCTAATACAGTCAGTTGCAAAATAAAGGGTAGAGCAGTGGTTCCTAAACTCTGACTGATTGCGCAGTACCAATTTAAAATGATACAACCTTAAGTAGCACCAGCAAATTTTTGTCATATAAAGTAATTATAATAGGTCTGTTAACACATACCACTGGCAATACCCATACTACAGATTGGGAGCCACTGGTGTAGAAGATTTACAATATGCAGACCTAAATTGCAAAACAAAGAGAAAAGAATAACCGTAGTAATAAATGCCGTGTAATCAGTCAGGGAAAGAGTTAAAAACATCATAGTGGGCAGTGTCAAGTAGAGGTTGCAGGATGTGATAACAGTATAAGGCAGGGGCAGGCAATTATTTTGGGTAGAGGGCTGCTCAGAGTTTTGGCAAGCCATCCAGGGCCACATGACAGGTAGCCAGGGGTAGATAAATATAAATTTTCTAAATATTTTAGGGGCCCTGCAGGTCGGATAGAATGGCTTGGCAGGCCACATTTTGCCCCGACCCCTGGTATAAGGCAACACGATGTTACATAAAAAAGAAGGTAACTTCTTTGCATACTTATCTGCATACTTATTTGCATTTTTTTCCAGCATACAATAGTTGTTAAGAAAATATGATAATTTGAGCTTCCAATACAATCATTTCGTATTTAAGACTTGGCAGCACTGGTCACATGGATGTTACTCTGGGCTGCTCCCCTTCAGGCCCATGCAGAGTCCCAGGTGGCCACCAGGCTGTCCCCAGTCGCCTCCGTCCTTTCGCAGCGTGGCTGAACCCAGAGGGGGCCATGGCGTGGCTGCCTTCCCCTGCCAGCTTTCTGAATGGATCCAGCCCTGCAGCCTCTGGGGGGCTTCTAAACAGGTCTTAAATATGAAATTATCAAATTGTAAGCTCAAATGATCGTATTTTCTGAAAAACTATTGCACTGAAAAGGTATGCAAATAAGTTGTCATCTTATTTACTTTATATTGCTCTCTGTAACTTACCAGTGACTGAGTGAGAACTGGGTCATCAAAGTTGAAGTGTTTCTTTATTTTGAGGCAAGCAGTCATAAGAAAGTGCTGACAGTGAACCTGAAAGTCAGATAAGATTCCTTGAGACAGACTTGGGTTTTGCCTATGCTGCATCAGTTACATGCGTTTTGAACGGTTTAGTATTATCTACCATACATCATTTAAAGATTTAAATTATTGTGCAAGTATGATAATTATTGTACACCTGGCAATACTGTTACTAAAGTCTTCAAAGCACCTAAGAAACCCCCTTCTTCTCCTTGGTGCATAGGCAACCCCTCCTTCCCTTTCCCATATCCCCTCCTTGCTGCTGCTTTTCCTGGGTCTGGGGCAGCGTGAAGCTTCAGACCAGCTCCTGGGCTTGGCTCAGCAGGTTCCAGCAGAAGCAGGGGAGGCAATGAGCAGAGGGTTTCCCTTTCCTGCTCCTAGGGCCAGGCAGAGTGGGGAATCTCTCCCCCCCAGTCTAGCTTTTACTGTTCCCAACCCACATGTACCACAGCTGGAGTGGGCAGGAGCGACTTTGACACTTCCTTGCTGGTGGTGGTGGTGGTAAGGTGGGGAAAGCAGTAGCAGCCAGGAGAGGTGGGCAGAGGGGGAGGGGAATCTTACCTGCTTTGAGGACTTTAAAGAACTTCCTGGAGGTTGCCACAGCAAGGCGTGTCCCTACCAGCTGTGGGGGGAGGAGGCTGGGAATGGCTGCTCCTGCAACCCCCTTTGCCAAGTCCTCAATCTGCCCCTGCCCCTGTCCCACAGTTCTCTACTCCCCCCCATTGCATGGCAACTGGCTGTTCTAGTACAGAGCAAGAATTCTTTTGTCCTAACCTGCATTGCATGCACTTGCCCCAACCTGATTTGGGATGTGGGGGAGGTGGTCAGGTAGCTAGAGAGGATTACTCCTGGTTCTAGGTTCCCAAGGCTCTAGGTGCTCTGTGGGGTTGCCCAATGTCTCAGCAGCTTTTAAGCAGCACTGTCCTCCAAACTGCTTGGCAGTCACATTCCATTTGTAGTAGTTTACCAAGTTTTGGGCATCCCAGGGTGATAAAATTTGGGCTGGGTGTGCATGGTTAGAGTGGTGTAATCCTGCGTTTGTATTCCTGGGATCTATGCCCAAGGTCTCTACAGCTTTTAAACAGCACGTTTTCCCAAGCCACTGATCCCTTTCATTCTATTCCTGGCAGTGGACACAAAGACCTTGGGCAGCACCCTGGGAACCCAGAAGCAGGAGAACATGGAATCATAGAGACGTCAGGCTGGAAGGGACCTCCAGAGGTTATCTAGTCCAACCTTCTGCCTGAGGCAGGATCATCCCTATCTAAACCATCTATACAATCCATAATCTAAAGTCCACATAAGATTGTCAACACACTCTACCCACCTGGCAACCTCTTCCCCCTACCCCAGATCAGCCTGGGATGCCCCCAAACCTGGTCAGTTCCCACCAGTGGAATGAAATTGATAAGTAGGTTGGAGAAAAATGCTATTTAAAAGCAGTGGAGACCTTGGGCAGTCCCCAGAATACCCAGCTGCCTGGGAAAACACGCCACCCCTCACTTCTTGCCCACACACATACACCCAGATACCTCCAGTCAGATTTTGGTAATATGTAAAGATGGTCTTTATTGAACTCAGCTGCTCTCTATCACGTGAGGTGTTCAGGAAGAGCTGGGCAAGCATTGGCCAGGGGTGATCTAGAAGTAGTTATGCCTATGCTCCATTATGGGTATTCCCTATACTTCTGGGCTTGGCTGGTTTCCATATGAGATTGAAAAGGAATTTCTCTTTCTGGTGCTGCAAGTGCTGTGTTGTTCTTTTTTTCCCACCTTCCTCAGAAGCATCAGGGGTTGGCTGCAGCTATGGCTGGAGATTTCGTGTGAAGTATGTCAGTGCTTATGCTGAGACTTAAACCCAGAGATTCCGGCTTATATATAGGGACCTACCAAATTTACGATTTTGTGAGAACTACAGAAGAGCATGGCCCCCATCAAAAAACATGAAATCGGAGGGGAGGGGGAAGAGAATTGCAAAAACAGAAAAAGGTGGAAAGCCCTGGCACCCTGAAGCATGGAGTGGGGAAAAGAGGGGCAGAGATTTTCATGGCAGGGTGCAATGGGCCACCCCCCATGCCTCTGGTTGGCTGAGGGCTCCTAGAAGTCCTGCCCCTCCCTGGAGATTGACAGATGGCCATCTGTCAGTCTCCAGGGAAGGTTGGATTTCTGGGATCCCTCCGCCAGAGGCGTCGGGGGGGAGGGAGAGGGGGGGTGCTGTGCTGTGCTGTGCTGCAGAAATGGCACTCAGTGCCATGCTTGAATCGCAAAATTTGGGTGCAGCCTCACTAAATTTGTTAGTTCCCTAGTTATAGCAGAGGTGCCAAGTACGTGAGGGCCTGAGTACCCTGGCACCCCTCAGGAAGAGGGCTGTCACCTGAAATGTGTAAAACTTTCCACACGTCCATCGTCTTAACACCTGCCCCCCCCCCCAGCAAAAATGAAAGTTGGTGTCTATGAGCTCCACTCAGGGTCAGGCTGATTGCCATATTTGGGGTCAGAAGGGAATTTTACCCCATGGGCAGATTGGTATGTCCTGTGGGTGTTTTTCCTTTCTCTTGTAATAGTGGGGTTTGGCCTTCTTCCTTTAACCACTCACTCAATTGTATTTTAACAGCTTTTGAAACAGCAGGACATTGGCTGCCATCATCCCCCTCCCTTCCTTGTGCCAGGCAGCAGTTTCCAAACTTTGACAGATTGTGCACCACCAATGTAAAACAATACTTACCACCAGCAAATTTTTGTCATATAAAGTTAATTATAAATCTGTTAATGCGTACCAGTGACAGATTGTCTGCGTACCACTGGTGGTACCTGTAACCCAGATTGGGAGCCACTGGGTTAGAGTGTTGTCCTACGGTTGTATCAGGGTAGCCTGTGTAGTTTTACTAATAGGTTAGAGCACAGATTTGTATAGAATGGCTTGGATAGGGATGACCCTGCCTCAGGCAGGAGGTTTGACTAGGCGACCTCTGGAGGTCCCTTCTAGCCCGACTTCTCTATGATTCTGTTGAACTCAGTGTAAGAAGAAAGATCAGGGCATTGCAATTGCAGGCAGTTAGATACCTTCCTTTTTTTCTTGGTGTGCAGCAAATTGGGGCTTTCCTCACCTGCTTGCGGTATATTGGGCAACAGGGACACCACTAGGACACAAGCTGGGCTAGGTATTCACTACCACCCCTTAGTGGCAGTTTGATAGCACTAAATGCCTAAAAGGTGACTTCTGCTTAGAGCCCTTGGCAGTGTATGTGAAGACCTCTGAATTGGGACATTTGTGAGCTGGTTTCCAGTCAATTAGATTCTTGGAATGGTTGAAGTGTTATGTCTGTGGGCACCTGACTGGAAGGGAATGAAGTAGGTAGCTGGGGGTGGGGGAGGGCAGAGGGAGGAAGGATTGCTTCCCATCCTGTGTTATATCTGGTGAGAATGACCAGTGTTAATTTTGTTGTTTGGTTTAATTGTGAACTTTACTGAAGTCAAAGACAGCTGGACATGATGCCATATTGTGTATTTTTGCTGTTGGATTCAGACAGGCATTCCTTATTTATGACAGCTTAGTGGTTCACTCGGTTCACGCTAAATGTGTGACCCCCTCTCTTTTTTTTAACCCCCTTTTCTGGAGTTTCAGATTCAGTTTCCCAACTATTTACAGAGATGCTGTCCACTTAAAATTCACATTGCTCTGAAGTTTGTCTTGCATATTGTGACAGTACAAGGTACTGCAAGGAAAAAGGGAACTAGTATATAGTGATCAACCTTTCAGACAGCAAGCTGAAATGACCTAGCTCAAGTCAGAGATGGGCAGGCACTAGGACCTGGACACCATCACCGCTGTCCCAGCTTTAGTGAACCTCTTATTTGAGGGTCTCTGAATGTTTTTCAAAGGGGGTCAGAGTAAATAACGGAGCATGAAGAAAGAGAAAAGTGCAGCATCTGATTTCAGGCCTCTTGAATTAGTTCCTTGTTTTCCTGTAAGGTTGCCATGCTTGTAAGTGTACAGTGCAAGGAAGAGATAAAACGTATGGAGTAGGAAAATGTGTCATACACGAACATACTTCTTATTCCATTAGGTAATTAATGTGTTTGATTTTGTTTTACTCTGATATTTTTGGTTGTGTATTATCCTCATTGTCTTGCATTCTCTCCTTTTTTGTAATGTTCTCCTAATGAACTACATGTAGTACATGATCAAATATCTTATATACATACTCTAAGAAGTAAGAAATTGCCTAATTTTTGTTTGTTCTGCTGGCTAGGTCACAAAGCTTAAAATGTCGTACATGTAGAAAAATACTTTAGATGTATTATGCCAAGACTTATTAATGTTATCAAGTTGCATTGAGCATAAGGAGAATTTATCATGTGATTTTTTTTTATGTTTAATTTTCTATCCTGGAAAAAGTGTATATCATTCCTATAATATTTCAGGTTTTCTCAGTACATAAAAGAAGATAGTAAAGTTAATAAAGCAACCTCTTGAAAGAAATCTTATTGTTATTTTTTAATTATCTGAACATTAGTTTTATTACATTATTATTTATTCTGTAGGGTAAGTGTCCTGAAGATGGATGGGATGAAAGTACCATTGAACTCTTTCTTCATGAACTTGCCATTATGGATAGCAACAATTTTCTGGGGAATTGTGGTGTGGGTGAGAGGGAAGGAAGAGTGGCATCAGGACTTGTTGCCCGTCGGCATTACAGGTAAGTTGTGTAAGTTATTTTAATATGACTGTGTTATTGTTAAAGTCTTAAAACTGCTTATTGTAATGTATCCAGTTATCTGTGATCGTGAAAGCTTTTAAAAACAAAATCTCATTATATGAAACATGTAATTTTCTGCATCAGCTTTTTCAGTAGTAAATCTTTGAGTAGTAAAGCATTGTGTGTAACACAAGTATTATATCAGAGTGCAGCTGCACTTCGAAGTGCTTCAAAAGTAGAGCATTTCAGCTGCAGATAGATGTATAGTCCTCTGCTGTGCCCCCTAGCTGCAGTGTTTTGCAGTCATTGTGACTGCATGAACTGGTATGGTTCCCAGCCAAGGGAACTGTGGTGACTTGTACCTTTTCTCCCACCAACCGCAGTGGATAGGGAGGAACAGACTCAATGTGACTCTGTAAACCTGGCTATGGGTCTGCTTGCTTCTTCCCCTCTCCCCACATGGGGGAAGGAGGCATTTGGCAGGAACAGTGCCAATGTTAGTGAGTGCTCTTCTGTCTGCTCTGCCTCTGTTGTCTTGGAGCACCTCTCCCCCACTCCTCACCCCCCCCCCCGAATTGGGAGACCAGGTATGGAGAGAGATGTGGCGACTGGGAGCTGGAGAACAGGATTCCCAGTTCTGGTAGGGAGGGCCAGGGGCTGCCATTCTCCTGGTTCCAAGCTATCCCAGTCCCACAAAGCTTCCAGTTTCCTGGTTCCAGACATGGTGCTCTGGGACAGTGGAGATGGAGTTGGCTGGAGAGCACTCACTGATGCAGTGCACCACTGTTTTCATGCGGTGGGGGGGGCAGGGTGTGAGCAGAGCATCATGGGATGCTGGAGTTTTGAGCCTTCCCTTGTTGTGGTCTGTAGAGCATGTATGTAGAACAGGAAGTGCTTCATTTTTAAGCGCTTCTAAATGTAGTTGTTTCCTTCAGGGTTACTTTTGGAGTGCCTCTGCCATTTTTTAGAACACTTCAAAGAGTATATACATCTGTCTATCTTGCTCTTTGAAATGCTTCAAATGTTACATCCCCTGTCCACATCCTAGAATATGTTGTTCCTTCCAGGTTATCCAGTTTTTCATGTTCTGGTGTGATTGAAGTATGAGGAGCTTCACTGCTCCTTGCCCTCCATTTCCTAAAGTACTGCTCTGTGACTCGAAGCTGAATATATTGCAGGGAATTGAGTTGGCAACATCATTCAGCTGGACTGAGAACATCTGTCACCTTGGATCCATTTAACCTATGGCTTCAGCAATGTGGGGGAGAGAGTTCTAAGAGGAAGCATCAGTTCTATCTCTACTCAGCTCTTCTTGAAATAGAAGGGTAATTTTGGGAGTGGGGCAAGCAAATTGGTTTAAGAGCCATCTCTTCTTTTCAGCCCTGTTATAAACAAAATGAGTGGGCAAAGGGATCAAGGAACCCAGGGACCCAAGCTATGGGAAGAGAGAAAAAGAATGTGTAGACTGAGAAAAGGCAGACCAAGTAAGGGAGAGATATTAAGAGAACAGCAGGAGAAATGGGAACAAAACATTATTATATGCAAATTTACTATACTTACCAAGCCAGTTAACTATTACCATAATTAAATTTGAAGCAGGAGAAAAACTTCATTCAACCCATCCAACTTTTCAGAGTTAAACCCATCCACTTTTCAGAGAGTATACGTAGCCGGAGTCCAACTTGTTGCCATGTCAAAAATGGAATTAAAGCTCTAAACCAGTAATTCTCAACCAGGGTGTCATCAGGTTGGGTTGAAGGCTGCTGTGAACTGTGAGGAGATAAGTGAAGTGTTAAGAGAAAAGATAAACTTAGATAAACTAGGCAGATAAGTGCAGGCTCAGGCTTGTCCCTGCTTGGATGATCCCCCATCCCCATTGTCAAGCCCCTCTGCAAGGAAGTAAGCACTGCATTTTATAAACCAGTTATTGAAATTAGGTGCCATTCTATTCACAAGGGTTATGGAAGGTTTGTTTGAGTCTAAAAAGGTTGAGAACCACTGCTCTGAATGGATGTATATAGTCGTAGAGCATGCTTTAAGTAGCTGCTGCATTTCATAGGTTTGTGAAGTTATATCTATAAGTGGGTAAGGGCCATATAGAAGGTGCTAAATAATATTCCATGTTGATAATTTTAATTTGAGTAGTATTGGAAAGAGGCGGGAGTGAAAAGCAAGGTGGAACTAGACAGAAGCAGAGAGATGGCAGATTGTGGGATGTGCAGAAATGATAAGTAAAGAAGAGGCAAAGGAATTCACTGCATTTATTTTTAAAACATTTAAACGAGGGCCTTGTTTTGTCTACCAGTGTAAAATATACCAAGACCTGGAGTGAACATATTTATAGCTATCTCAGTGTAACCTCATGTAGAAGGTGGCTATTGCAGTACCTTATCTATTTCCTGGGCAAGTAAGTGATTGCTTGCTTACCTTGAGCGAATGACTGCTCCAGGCTAAGCTGCAAACACATGACATCTATACCTGTGTAACTTACACAGATATAATTTTACCTCTGATTCTGTTAGAGGCAATATTATACCAGAATGGCCAAAATTACCCTGGTTCAGGAACTTATGTCTGCTTTTTTTTTAATGTCAGCATAAATTAGTTAAATGTTCCAATATCAGTGTGTCATCTCCTCAGCTCCCTGCTTGCCCTTCAGATATAACATGTTTATCAGGCAGCAGCGTTCCCTCTAAGCTGTGTGGTGTGCACGGCTGTGCAGGCACACCTGGCAGCGCAACATGAGTGTGCCTGTGTGGCCACACATGCCACACAGCTTAGAGGGAACGCTGTCAGGCAGAGTATTTGTATAATCCCATTGCTGCACTGTAACTATTATACTACTGACTTTTGTTATTCTTTGCAAAGTATTACTGCTGAGTGTATAAAATATGGAAGCATCTACAGTTAATCTGAGAAATATCATAGAGCTTTCTTAAGTAAATCTGCCTGTCACTAAACCAGTCCCTTCTATAGGCCTTCTATTTATTTAGTGTGCTTAACAAGACTTTTTTGATGATTTTCTGTTCAGAATTGAGTACAATAGCCAGTCTTATGTTTAATGTTGTACAGAATATTATAATGAAGTTCATTGTCTGATTTTACAAAATACTAGAACTCTTGGTTCCAAAACGATACCTTTTATTAGACCAACTGGACCATTGTCTGATTTTGGTATTGAATTGGATAAGTTTTTTTCCTAATATGATTATCAGGAAATATTGCTTTAGGACTTGACAGTTCTTGATGTATGTTTTCAATCTCTTTTGTTCAGGTTGATCCATGGAATCGGAAGGTCAGGTGATATTTCTGCTGTCCAGCCTAAAGCAGCAGGTTCTAGCCTTCTGAACAAACTTACTAATTTGATAGTTCTGGACATTATAAAGCTGGCTGGTAGGTGTGAAACCAGTAACACTTCTCTTTTGTAGGTGCCTGTGTCAATTAGAAAATGCTTCTTATTAATCTCTAGTTTACTTCTTATGTGCAGGTGTCCGGACAGTGACCAGTTGTTTTGTGGTTCCCATGGCAACCGGCATGAGTCTAACCCTTTGTTTCTTAACACTACGGCACAAGAGACCAAAGGCAAAATATATTATTTGGCCACGTATAGACCAGAAATCTTGCTTTAAATCTATGATAACTGCAGGTAAGAGGATAAACTGACCATGTAATACAGAATCTGCGTGCATACTGTGCATGTTTATACCTTCCTATTAATAGTGGTCCTGGATTTGTACACGTGTTCTCCAGCAACAGTCAGATAAACAAATGGAAATAAAAAGCAGAGATGTTTAATCATAGTAATCATCAGAAGATATTATAACTGTGTGGAGACGCAAAGTGTATATACTTGAGGACAAGTTAAGCTTACTAATTTTATATTGGAGAGGAAGAGCCTAAGGCAGGGGTGGACAAAATGTGGCCCGCAGGCAGCATGAGATCCACCAGGCCATTCCATCTAGCCCACGGGGCCACTAAAAAATTTAGAAAATTAATATTTATCTGTCCCTGGCTGCCTGTCGTGCAGTCCCCGATAACTTGCCAAAGCCCAGTAAGCGGCCCTCTGCCTGAAATAATTGCCTGCCCCTGGCCTAAGGGGAGTCTTGAATGATCTGTTCAGAACTCTGAAAATTTAAACAAGGTTGATGTCACAAAATCATCAAAGGAATGATAGACTTCCAAGGGAAAAAAAAAGCTGCCACTATTGGACAGGTAGGATTTCACAATTGGATGTGGCTGTTTTTACTCCTAGATCACATACCAAAAGCCAGTCAAGAGTGACTATAAGTTATTTCTCTTCGAGTTGTGTGGTTCAAGTTCTTTAGCTGGTGGCCTGTATCAGAATTTGATCCCTGCATGTCAGTCTTGAAGGACAAGGTTGGACTGAGAAGGAGAAACACGTGTGGCTGATGCCATGCCATGACTTTCCTGGGGGTATGAGGGTGTGTCTGCGTTTCATCCAGCCAATCTGGCACCTCTCCAGTGATTTTAAGAGTAGATCTGGAAGCACCCACACAGTAGTTTAATTCTACTCATTGACTGCACTGCAGGGAAAATTAGGCCTGATGGGAATCCATAAAAAAGACTTTACAGATATGGAAATTAATGTGCAAACTAAACTGCCAGAAATAGGAGCTAGGGAAACAGGAAATAAAAATTAATAAAAGTTGGGGTACAAATGCTACAAAAATAGTCTAAGAAGATCATATGACTTTCATCCATAAGAGAAAGTTACTCTTGAGGGTAGTTGTTCAAATGATTTTACTCATTTTATTTGCTGAGTACTGTTCAGCAAAAAAAATGATGAAAAGTCTTTGTTGACTTTTTAAAACTTTATTATACAAATATTAACAACAAATGGTAGAAGTGCAAAATGATACAGTCATCTCTGGGCCTGAGCATGAAATGCTTGTCAGCAGTAAAAAACACTGTCACTGGAGATTGAGGCCCTCTTTCCCTATGCCCTTCATAGGGTTACACATATAGGACTAGCTGTCTGTCTTCCACCCCACAGAGTGTACCCTTGATGGCCCAGTGCTACACAAAATGGTCCACATTTTGTCACAAGGCGAATTGTGCAAATTCAAATGTGACATGTGCCTAGGCCAGGAAGTGGAAGAGTTGGAGGGCGTTATCAGAGCTGGGCCCTGCAAGCCGGTTTCTGCAGCTTTTCAAAGTTGCCATCTTGGCCTGGCTCAGCAAGAAATTGGCCAGGCAGATCATACTCCCCTTGGCTGCTCAGTATGGTATAGAGAAGATATACAGAGTCTTGGAGTAGTCCGAGGCCAGGATGCCAAAGAAGGTGCTGAGAGCAGCAAAAAGTGGCTCCATGTCCTTGCAGAAAGGGAAGGCCTCCAGTGCTGCCAGGTCTTAGTGGCAGACAAAGGCCCCATGATTAGAGTGCCATGCAGCAGCAGCTACTGGAGGTCATCAGTTCTCTTGACCATGGGTAGTTGTACAGGTGCACCAGGCTGGGTGGATTTGCTCTAGTATTGCTGCCACTAGGCACAACCTCCAAGGACAAAAAGTACAGAAAATTGTGATGAATATTCTCTTTGTTTATTTAACAGACAACAGAAAGAGGTTCAAAAGCAGGGCAAATAGTTCACCAGCTTTGTTTATCAGATACACTGTACACAAGTAGAGCATATTGCAAATAGTAAAGTTGTGATTTTAAAACATTACAATTTAATAATAGCTGTCTTATCACACAGCCCTTACATAGTTAATATACATAATCGTGCTTTTTAGTAACTGTATAGATTTTAAATATCAGTATCTGCTCTGTAGCAGCTCAGATAGTGGTCAGCTATAAAATAAAAACAAATGTACAGAAGCAAATTTAAGCTACTTAAATGTGTTAAAATTAGGGGAGCACCAATAGAGATTTTTGGGGCTGATACCAGTGGCTGATTTTTAACGAGCCTTATCAGCCGATACCAATTCAATTACCAATATGCAGCTGGGCAGCTTGGAGAGCAACATCCAGCTGGTAAGTCTGTTGTGGGGGAAGGAGTGAATGGGGAGGGAAAGGGGTGTGTGGGGGGGGCAGATTGAGGCCTCTGCGGTAAGGGAGGGAGTGGGGCAGAGGCAGGTGCTGCACAGCTGGGGCGGGGTGCGGGACAGAGCCACGACTGGCGGAGCTGTGGAGGGGGAGCAGCTTCCACTGCTGCACACACCCTGGGAGGCATAGGGGTATGTGCCCCTGGCGAGGGCGGGTTGCTGCTGCAGGCTGGGGCCAGTGCAGCACTGGGCTCTTCCTGGCAGGGGGCTGGGCTGCATTCAGGGAGGGTGACAGCAGTGCTGGGAGTGGACCACCCCTGCCCTGTGCACTCCCAGTCGAGCCACTTGTGACTCCGTCCTGCGCCCTGCCCTGGCTATGCAGCGCCTGCCCCTGCCTC